TGTTTAAATAGGTGCGATATATTTATCAATTTTATTATTAATTAATTACAACGTTCGTGATACCTGGAAAATGGTCGTTTAAATGGGCGCGAGAAATTTAACATTCTTATTATTAATTATTAAAGATTGCGAGCTTCTTAACGTGATCTTTTAATTAGGGGCGAGATATTTAATAATTGTATATTTAATTTTCAAAAATATTCGCGAGACTCGTTACGTAGTCGATCAAACAGGCGCGAGAAGTTTAGCAATCTTATTTTTATTTATCCACAACTCTTGAGAGTCCCGGCACGTAGTTGTTTAAATATCGCGAAACATTTTACCATTTTATTAATTAATAAAGATGGGACTCAATTCCCGACGCGATTTAAATAAGCAGAACGCGGAGAAAATTTATCGATCAATGAAGGGTCTCAATTTCCAACGCGGTTTAATTCGCGCTTTTACAAGAAATGTCATTGTATTTGTTTAAATATCTTATTCTTATACCGTTGGTCTGTTTAGTTTTGTTATTTTATTATTGTAGATTTTCCTTCAATCTTTAATAAGATTGAACGAATTCCCTGTAGCCCCTTCACGCATTTAAAGCGTCCTTCGTAAGCTCTTCCGCAGTGCCACCTCCTACTAACACGGGTACTTTAAATTTATATTTTATTCACTGAAAGAAATATGTGTTAGACACCACACAAAATTATTCTCATGCGTCACATAAATTTGAATATGAATTTAAGCATGCAATATACACGACCATATTTGAAAGAAAACTATCCGTGCTATTCGCAGATTTGTCAGAGATAGGAAAGAGAAATTTTCATTCACTTGCCGACTGATGACAGCCAGCGGATAAGCGTTTAATTTTACGCTCTTTTAAACAATGCGCGAAACACGAACGCGTCGCAAAAGGCCATTATTGTACCAATTAATTTAATAAAGAATCAATTTAATGTTTACTATTAATATTTACTTTATTTCTATTTTTTAAATGTGATAATACGCACGTTCAAAAAGTAAAAAGATAACAATTAATAAAAACTTCCAATATAAAAAGATCTTAAAATATCATGTAATATAAAAATTCTCGAGTCTCTAGAAATTTTCTAAATTCGAAACCGGTAAATTCTATAATTCAATATATTTGAAAAATTCTATGATAGACGTATATGATATTGCTGTAACGATAATTGATCACGAATAATAGATTCGCGCAGCGACAAAATCAAATGGCCCGCATCACGACTTCCCGTCGATAGAAATAAATAGATTATATATAATACTTATAATAATCTCAGAACGCGAAATCTATTCTTATGATAAATATATTATTAATTGGTACTTACCTATCGTACGTTGCACTCAGCTCACGATCGTCCTTCCTCGGATCTCGCTTGTCCTTCGACGAACCGCAATCAATCTCCATTGTCTCTGTCTCGATGACCTCGGACTTTGTGCTCTGACTGACGGATGTAGGCTCGATGAAAATTTGATGCATCTCGATTGGGCTTTGGCCGAACGCGCGCACTCACTATATGCGTGCCATGCTGTCGAACGCGCACTAATTATTAATTAAACTATGCGTATTATTGCTAAACGCGCACTCACTGCATATTTGTACTGCCGAATGTACGTGCTGCCGAATGTACGTGCTGCCGAACGCGCACTTAATATGCGTACTCTCCGAATGCTTGATTGCTAGAGTTCGATAATTTGTAATTAAAGTTCGCGGCGCCGGGAGCGCGCCACGCAGTACCATCCACACACCGCGCCAATTCCCTACTGCTGAGCGCCCCGCGCCACGTTAGCGCGCCGCGGCCGTCGAGCCGCCGAGCCCGGCCTCCCCACGCGCATGCGCGCGCCGCGCGCCTCGCCGCTCGCCGCGATGTTAATTCAATTGTATAGAATTTTGAAGGAATAATTACACTGATATTAAGCATATCGTATATTGTTCTGCCTGCTCTCCGGAAATAACGAGTGACGACAATACCGTAGAAACAGACATTTACACATGACTTATTATATATATAATTTAATTTTGAACAAGAGAGAAATCGATGGTTCCTCTTTTTCTCCGTTGCACGGCTAGAATAAAAAATCGTAATTGCTTGCTATTAATTGTTATAAACTTCTGATACACATTACGGTAATCTAACAGATAATTTAATACGCGAAATGGGCAAAACAATTCCGTAATTAACTGAACTGTAAAATAATTTGATCGCTTAAATTACATTTAGCCGATTTCTCTCGCTTGATGTGATAATTTAAATAGAAACAGTCCAGGGATTGGTAAAAAACTGACACAACTTATTTAAAATAACAAATATAAAATAAATTTCAGAAACTTATTTAAAATAAAATATCACAGGGGCCAATAAAAATTCATACAACTTATTTAAAATAAGAAATATAAAATATATTTTCCAAAAACGTATTTGAAATATTAAATAGGAAATAGATTTAGAAAAAGCTATTTAGAATAATAAATACTAAATAATTCTTTTACTTTTTTAATTTAAAATACATATTTTAAATAATAATATTATATATATACCGACTTCTAGATAACACGCAACCGTGTAAGAATATTTAATCAGTAAACTATATTACGATTCATTATATTATGACTCTTCCTTTGTTCATTCTAATGATATGTTATTGCACATTACGACGATACTTTGTATGATATCAGCTATAACATTAATACTCGTAAGTCGTATATCATGAGGATGAGATTTCTCCATTATCTCATCACGTGTTCATATTGACAGATAGAACAGATTTTTTAGGCTGCGTTCCGTTTTAACACTCACGCGCTGTAAGCATCATTTGTCATTTAATATTTGATAAATAACAATGATAAAATGATTTCATGAGCGCTGTAAGCGTCGAAAGCGTGAATACACTGAATATAGATTATAGAATGCAGCCTAACCTCAACAATCTTAACCTCAAAAGACATCGCTTTTGAAGTTTTCGAAGTTAACTTTAGGTAAAAAATTATTTTTTATGGCTAACAATAAGTTTAGATGAATCTTATTAAAAGATTTCATTGGTAAGTTGGCATTCACTTTTCAAAATTGTCTTAGAATTATTATTGATGTTAGTTGATTTTATATGGATAATTATTATTTTTAATTTTTATAGAAATACATCCGAGAAGTATATCCAAAAAAGTAAAACATCTAACTAGATCCGAATCATTTTGGCATCATTTTTATACAATGGACAACATATCGATAGACGAATGCGAGGACGAATTAGTAGCAGAAATTACGAAGTTGCGTGAATTACTACGCATGAAAGAGGCTAAACTAGCTCGTTTGCGACACGAGAAGCAAGTCGTGCAGGAATACGGTTTAAATAATGATGAAATTTGTAGATACAGCCGGCAGCTCTTTTTGACAGAAGTTGGCGTGAAAGGTATGTCATAATGTCATATGTATAAGATTCTTCTTATAATATACATAAAGAAAAGCTGCATAATCTGAATTTATTGATAAAATATACTTTTGCACTAAATTTTGTAATAAATCATAAAAAAAATTCACGTGTAAAAATATTAATATAGCACATATATATGTTATATATAAAAATAAGAAACATGTAATCTTTTTCTGATAGATTCTGATTGTTTTAGGGCAAAAGAAGATAAAGGATAGCTCCGTACTTATTGTAGGAGCTGGTGGTCTTGGTTGCCCTGCAGCGTTATACTTGACATGTGCTGGCGTTGGCCACATTGGCATAGTGGATTATGACGATGTTGAAATAAACAATCTTCATAGGCAGTTATTGTATACAGAAACAAGTGTTGGTACCGCCAAAGTGATTGCAGCAGCAGAAAGTCTTAATCGGTATAATAGTATTTGCAAATTAATTATATGTTGATTAAAATGAGAAAATTGTAACTTTTTATGTAATAACGTAACATAATTAAGTTTTTTTTTGCGTGTGTAACTTCTCACTTTTCAGTTAATTAATAAGAATCGTCTATTTATTTTTTGTACTCTTGTTCGCAGGCTAAACAGTTATGTAAAAATCACTCCATATAAAATTCAACTAGACAGTAAAAATGCTTTGGACATCATAAGGAATTATGATATTGTAATAGATGCTACAGACAATGTAGCTACTCGTTATTTGTTGAATGACGCATGTGTTTTAAGTGATAAACCACTGATTTCCGGATCTGCGCTGAGATTCGAAGGACATTTAACAGTATTTAATTACAACAATGGCCCTTGCTATAGATGCATATTTCCTGAACCACCACCACCAGAGACTGTAACGAACTGTGGAGATGGAGGTGTTCTTGGCGCAGGTGAAGTTTTATCAATTTATATACATATATTTTACAATTTTTAAACAAGTATACGTATATTGTATCATTCTTGTTTGTTTCTTATTGTCGAATATTAGCTGTGGGCACAATTGGTGTATTGCAAGCACTGGAAACATTGAAAATAATACTTAATATGCCCGATGTAATTTCGGGACGACTTTTGTTGCTTGATGGAATGGAGACTAAATTCCACAATGTACGCTTACGTCCAAAGAATGCAAATTGTATGATTTGTGGAGAACATCGTGTTATACATGAGCTAATAGACTATGAACGATTTTGTGGCGCAAAGGCTAATGATAAAAATCCTAATTTACATTTATTAAAAAAAGAAGAAAGAATATCAGTTGAGGAATATAATCGGATCGTGGAAATCGAGTCAAAACCTCATCTACTAATCGATGTACGTTCACCCGAAGAATATCAGATCTGCCATTTACAGGATTCTATTAATATTCCTTTCACGCAGCTTAACAAGGATCCTAATTTAAAGCTAATAAAGGATAACATAAAGAAAGCTCAAGAAGAGCATCATTCAGTAGATTGTAAGACATTTATGTTTACATTATATAATTCTTTAGATTATTTTTTATGCGATTAATAGAAATTAATCTTGGACTGTATTTACTCTTTCAGTATATCTCCTGTGTAGACGTGGTAACGATTCGCAAAAGGCTGCTCAATATCTGAAAAAGATATTTACTGAAGATACCATAAAAGTAAGAGATATAATTGGAGGTATCCATGCTTGGAGTAATAAAATTGATCAAAAATTTCCTAAATATTAAATGAAAATATTGCACGTTGGTATGTGATATATATATATATTTTTTTTATATATCTTATTGATTATCACCATCAAGATAACATAATACAAAAACTTATTACATTTATAGTTTTGTATATATATCGTTATCGAAAATATATATATCTCTTATTTACATAGTATATATTCTTAATTTGAATATTTTTCTATTTCCTCCAATGTTAGACTAGTTTCCGGGTGTTTATAATGAGAATCTGATAAATCTCTTAATTTTTTTGCTGCTTGTTCTGGTGTTAGATCTCTCTGTGCTTGAGCTAAAAGCTCATAGCCAACCATGTGCTTCTTTATGGTAGCAGATCGTAATAAAGGTGGCAAGTATATCCCATGAAAGGTCCAGTATGGATAATCCTGATTCTGATATGGACCCATTGGAGCGCCTTTAATTACATATCAATGAATTAATAACTGTAAACTGGGCTAGATTAAAAGAGTATATGAAGGTATATAATAAATGGAATAATCGTTATTCCTTACCATGCCATCCCATCGAATAGGGAAAAGAGCATTGGAAGAGATTATCATATTTTGTACACAATCTCTTCATGATGACAGCTAGAGATTCTTGTTGGCTAACCGACAATTCTTGCATTCTAGTTACTTGCTTTTTTGGTAATACCATTGTTTCGTACGGCCAGACTGCCCAAAATGGTACTACAACTATCCAATCACGATTCTCTATTACGATGCGATCCTGTAAATTTGTATAACAGTTTAGTTAAAATTGCATCAAATAATTCTGGGTAATAAAAATGTTGAGAATTGTTGCTCTTGAACTTTTTCATATCATGTATCATTCATAAAATATGTATTATTTATAACAACTAACCTTTTTTAGTATTTCTTTTTGCACGTAATCAATAAGAAGAGGTTTCTTGTTACGCGTATAGTAATCCCTGAGGTATCCGTCTTTTATTCTAATTTCATTCGGTAAAAACGAACTAGACCATATTTGACAGTGAGGATGCGCGTTGCTACAGCCCATCAGAGCGCCTCTATTCTCAAATATCTGGACCCAAGTCCACTTTTCACCCAACTCCAACATTTCGAAGATCCACCTGTCGCATTATGCAATGTTTATTACATTTGTAGTTTTTTTTTACATATATCGTTATCGAAAATATATCCCTCAATTACATAGTATATATCCTTAAATATTTAATACCCTTTAAATATTTTTCTATTTCCTCCACAGTTAGACACATTAGTTTCCGCGGGTGTTTATAATAAGAACCTGATAAATCTCTTGAATTTTTTTGCTGCTTGTTCTGGTGTTTATATCTTTCGAAAGTGACTGGTATCCGATTTTGTACGACTGATTATTGTACATCGTTACTTTACTCACTGTTTGATCACTTCCTTGATGTCGGAAATATTCATCAACGCTATCGTTACATTCGACTTTGGATGAAAACACATCACTTTGCAGGTACCTTTAGCGGATCCCATTTGAAACAATTCATCGTCCGACTTCGGTGGCTTCGGTACCGATTCTAATAAAGCAGGAAAGTCATTCACAAACGAGAACGTATTTTGGTACATTGGAGTTACCTGTAATATAAATCTGCAATCTTCAAATGATCTAATGACAATAGAATAAAACGATAAACTTTAGATTACATCATTTTTAGAATAATTAATGAAGAAATGATTTTATCAAGAAATGCTCTATTAAATCTTTAGTATTATATTAAATGTACGAAATTTAAAATTGTTTTGTTATAAAAATTTCCTGCAAATAAAGAATAACATGCTAATAGAAATGTAGGTAACGTAATACTAAAATGAATATAGCAAAGTATCATTTTATCAAATAAAATCAAGAATTTTAATATTTCAATTATATAAGAATTAAAATAATAAAATGTTATTTAAGTATCACAGACAAAATATAAGTGAACTGACCTTTCCACTAGCTCTAACATTTCCTGGGCAAAGTGGATTTTTGGGATCGTAATCTGGAAGTTCCTCATCTGTACTAGGTTCTATTTGTCCTCCCCAAGGTCTCTTCATACGATGTGGTGACACTAGTACCCATTCTCCTCTCAATGGATTATACCTTATATGTTGATGTTCTGCAAAACACAAATCTTAATAAGAAAACTGTTTTGTTATAGGCATTAAAAATATTAATTATTTATATCTAACCAATTGGGTCAAATATTGATGATGTGGCGTCATCTTTTGATACATCTTTCGATACATCTTTCGTTCCATGTTTGCTTTTGTCCCATGATCCATCACCTATTACAAATTTATGAAATATATATATATATATAATCTATTCTCTGGGATTACTAAGGAGAAGAAACTTGTGAAAAATATACTCAATTTATATAACAGTTTAAAGTTACATTATAAAGTTGCAATATCATATAACAGATTAGATTCTTTTTATCACAATGCGCATTTCATTACGTAATCCCTTCTTTGCATAACATTATAGCTATAAAGAATATATGACAGAATATTATATCATTTTTATTTTATATTTAATTTAAAAAACTTGTTATTTAATAAATATATAAAATGTAAAAAACAAATATATAAATATATGTCTATTCCTTTAAAAAAATTAATATGTTACATGATATTGCTACTAGAATTGCATAATTAAGACCGATAATATTAAATGTTTACAAAACGCGCGTAATAACAATCGGATTTACCTTTCGCCGACATTTGAGCGTAAAATGCCGTAAAAGCTCACTCTGCGACAAAAATTTTGCTATGACTGACGATTAATAAACGTATGTCGTTGTCGACATTCCTCTTCCAACGTGTTTACGTGAATTATTTTTGCGCAGATAACAGCGGCAAACACGAGAGCATAACCTTACGTCAGTTATTGAGTAAACGAAACTTTGGGTCAAGGTTCACGGAAAGAGAAGGCCGATACGTTAATTATTAGTGTTTTTACTTGATGCATGAAAAAAATTAGGAAAAACGAATTATATAGAAATAATTTTACTACGAGTAGATTCGTCTAATTAAATAGATATTAATCAATAAACTTCAATATTGAATTAATGTCGAGTAAGTAATTGCTCCAGTCAACCGGCAGATTTCTTTACAGTAAAAATATCTAATTAAATTATTATATATACATATATATGTATATATGTAAAGTTGAGAACTTCTCAAAAAATTAATGTGTTACAATTACCGTTTTTTTTTTCAAACAAGTTTTTCTTTAGTTTAATGTAGTGTGAATTAATTGACATTAGCACACATTTTATCTTTAGATGTAGCACAGACTCAAAACTCGAATTACATCCATTTTTAATGTTATAATTTTATGGACAATGTCAAAAAATGGATGTAGTAACATAGTATCGATTTAAAAAATGGATATATTGACGCTAGTGTAGGATTCTAATCGTGCACCCTAATGGCCGCTCTCGTGCGTCTCTCTGTTATGATACACTACATCCGATCGTTGGAAAATAAGCGGAGTGTTTTAGAGCGTTCTCAGAGCTTTTGATCGTGCAAGAATTGATAATAATCGATACTGTTTAACGGAACTATAAAATGTAAGTTAAGTATTTATCTTGTGCAAATTAATTACACTTTTTTGTTCAAATTGTAGTATCTGCTAATTTATTATGATGTATATCAGGGATAACCTCAATTATAATAGTGCGCGTATTCATGAATTTAGTTTATTTATTTGTATCCATTATATTATTTCGCCACAATGTGTAAAAAGTTGACGAAGAATTTTTAGTACTGTATATTATGTAATATATTGTTCATTTTTTTTTTGTATCAGGTCTTCTCTGACAAAACCAAAATCTGAGATGACGCCAGAGGAATTGGCGAAGAGAGAAGAAGAGGAATTTAATACCGGGCCTCTCTCAGTTCTAACACAATCAGTCAAAAATAACACCCAAGTATTAATAAATTGCAGAAACAATAAAAAACTACTGGGACGAGTAAAGGCCTTCGACAGACATTGCAACATGGTTTTGGAAAATGTAAAAGAAATGTGGACGGAACTTCCACGTACAGGGAAAGGCAAGAAAAAGGTACATCTTAATTGTATATTTTTAACAAATTACTTAAATCTAATTTTATTATTGAATAATTTATGGATTTTACTTTAAATTTTGAATAATTAGTGATAATTATTTAATACATGTATATGTAATTCTTAAATATTTTATTTATATTTAAAAATTACCAGCCCAATGTCAAGCATGTTTTAGAAGGAAAAGGATATAATTAATGATATTTTTTTTATATAATAAATATTCTGATAGAATCAAATGTTCCATTACAAAAATATGACAAAATTAATTAAAAAAGTAAACTTAAGTAACTTTCATTAATAATTTTTATATTAACTGAAATATTTATAAAATATTTACAGGCAAAACCAGTAAATAAAGACAGATTTATCCCAAAGATGTTTCTACGTGGAGATTCAGTGATCTTGGTTCTGAGAAATCCACTGGCAACTGCAGCAGGAAAATAGATTCAGGGCAATTTTAATTTTATAATTTTAATATTATTAAGGCAACTAATGCTATAATAAAGGAAATAAAACGTTTTGATACAAACGCAACAGCGTTTATTGACGTGATAAACCTTTTTCTGCACAAATTTTTAATCTTACGCATAATTCATTAAATATTAAGTAAAAAAGTGTTTTAAGCAGGACATGTTTATTTCTTGTAAATTGCGTACAACATTATCAATCCTTTTCGGCGATTGCAGTTAAATGTTTATCGATCTCTTGTTCGGTCAGTATACTGTAACAGAAAAATATGAGTTGAAAATTCTGATATTCGCATTAAGATCAAAATTATGTCATCAATTACCAGAATTTGGGATTGTCCTTCGATACAACTCCCACTTCGATTTCGGTCGGTTTAAAATCTACAGATAAAACTGTAGATAGACAGGTAATGGCTAGCTGTATAGTTTCGTCGTAGTCGTAATTTTGTTTCTTCTTCAATTTCTTCTCGAGATAGGAATTAGCTTCCGTTTGCTTCGCCCCAACAGAGATAGCTCTATAACCACAAAAATATCCTGCTGGATCGGCCTTATAAATGCACGGACCCTTTTCTTTGTCGTATGCGATGAGCATCATGGAACATCCAAGGGGTCGCATCTCCGCATTCTGCGTGTATACTTGACTAATGTCGGCAATGCGCTGGCATAGAGCGTCCACAGGTATCTCATAGCCATACTTATATTTAAAATGAGCTGCTTCGTATCGCGCGCGTTGTACTTGGGACTTGCTGTCGGCTGTGGAATAAAAGTCAAAAGGTAGCACAGAGTTTGCTTTGAGTAGCACAGACGCAATCTAAAATTATTAAAACTTACCTATCATGCCAGTCATGACGCAACCGATGTTCTCGGTCAGTTGAAATACATGAGTGACACTGGATGCATCAAGTAGCTTGTCCTATAAAAAAGATGATATATATTACTTTGATATAAAAATGAATGTTAATTGGAACATGTACAATAGAATTTTGTTTATCCGCACTTTATTTAGATAAATAAATTTGTGCTCAATTCCAAATATATGAACTCACAGCTAAGCTCTTATTATACAGGCTTGCGAAATTAAGGGTCCTAAAAGAAAAAAAGTAGCAGAATAATGACTTTCTATGCAATTTTGGTTCAAATCTGCCGCAGCAAAATATGTCCATCATGTTAGGTTTTTGAGATAAATGTAATATAGGACAAAAACAGTAATTTTTGCCATTTTCAAGGTGTTATTGTGACCGACTAAATTATGTTTTTAATATTTTCTGAACAAATCGAAACGTCATTTTCAATGTACTTTATAATTCATCGAGGTGCCAATTTTCACTACTTCGGCAGTGCACAGCCTCATCGTCGAAAAGTTTTCATCTTGAAACCTTCATAACTCTGTTTAAAAAAAACCATACAGAGATAAACAAAGTCGTTATTTAAAGGTAAAAGGTAGTGCTTTATAATGACAGAGAGAATATTAAAAACATAATTTGATCACGTCTTGAAAATGGCAATAAAAACTGTTTTAGGCCCATATTACTATATCTATCTCAGAAACCTAACGTGATGGATATTTCTCGCTAGCGGATTTGGATTCGATAACCAAAATTACATAGAAAGTGACTTTGCTATTTGTTTCTTTCAAGACCCTTAACTTCACAGGCCTGTGTAATCCAAGAACCAATCAAGTAATAAAATTCGACGTGTTTAACTTCAATTTTCTAAACATCAGCTCCTATTATGAAAACTAAGTGAGCTTCCATCTATTATCCGAACCATTTAACTGTTTTGTTCCCCATGAATAAACAGAGTTTTACTGTATTCGCAAATACTAAGCAACCATTTCCAACAAAGTCAACAATTGTAAGTTGGTTAAGGCTGATAGAATTGAAAAGAGCTAAACTGAATAAGTTTGTAATAGAGTTGAAGTACAAAATATTTTTAAGAGGTTATCTTACAGGCACTTTCTTCTGTGTCGCGAAAACGACTGTCTCGATTCCTTTGACGGCTACAGACGTCAGGCCACCTTGATTAATAGCTTTGAAGGCGTATTCTGCACAAGGTATAAGGAAAAAAAGGCACTTTAACAAATTTCAAAATGCAGATCACGCAGAGTCATCGACGCGTATACAGTGTAACAAAAGCAGATGATCTAACATAAGCGTCGATGCCGATAACACGATAACTGTTCGTGTTGGGTCCAAGATATTCTTTTGATCCTTACCTACTTGGTAAAGCCGACCTTCTGGCGAAAAAATCGTGATATGCCTGTCAAAACCAGCACTGCTGCCGCGCGCCATGATCGCTGATACAGGAATCGAAGATTACACCTCTCACTCTCGTAGCTTCTCGACTGATTTGCCGACTTTGCCGTGAAAACGTCAAATCATAGGTCTGTTCTTTGTAACTGAACTTTTTGCACAAGTGCAGAAAGCATACACCAAAGTGTATTCCATCAGATACAGAGAAAGAGAGAGAGTTAATATTAAAAATCTACTATTAGAAATTCATATGTCTTATAACTTTGACCCACTTAATAAATAAAAGTGACTCACTTTTACACTTGGTACACTAACCAATTAAAATGTGACACACTTCTCTGATTATTTAAAATTTTAAAAAGAATGTCTCTTCCGAACACACCGGCAGTGGCGCCGTGTGTCATCCGAATTGACCAATCGAAACATACCATTTTATTGCGTAATTTGCCGCGCGATCCGGAATTTCATAATGAAGACCAGTGCTGAAAATCTATAATGCACGTAATTATAGATTTTCTGTATTTGCAGTGAACATCGGAACGCAACCTTAATCGATGCGTCTGATCGATGCAAAAATGATAATTTTCCTTGAAATGATTTTTATTTTATTTTCAAGCATAGTTTTCACTTGAGTGTCGAATGCAAACCGGTGATTTTCCTGTCAAAGGATTGCAGCTAAAAAATTGATGATTTATGTATATTCCGAAAGCTCATAAATTAACAGATAAGTTTTCGTCATGAAATGATTATAATTTATCGATTTTCAAGACTGGTTTTCTCCTGAGTGCCGATGCACAAAGAGTGCTTTTTTTGCCAAGGGATTGCAGATCGAAAATCGGTTTATACATATTTTAAGACCTCATAAATTAACAAATAATTTCCCGTCAAGAAATAATTTATTTATCGATTTTAAAACATTATCGTTCTATCTTGAGTGTCGAACGCAAGAGGTGGTTTTCGTATTAAAGAATTGCAGCTCGAAAATCGGTTTATTTTAAGAGTTCATAAATCAGTAAATAATTTTCCATCATAAAATGATTAATTTATGGATTTTCAAGATTATTGGTTCTCTGTGGAGTGCTGATCGCACAGGATGTAATTTTCTGCTAAGGGGTTATTGCTCAAAGATAAAATGTTATACATATTTTTGTAGCCCATTACTGCCGGAAGTATATGATTAGATGATAGATTAATTTAATGTTGATTTTCATGGGTTTTCTCGCTTCGGCGTAAACTAGTTTTGGGATTGTTTCGAGAATAAGGGATGGAGCTCAAAAGTCAAAACTACATTTATTTACGAACTCGCATAATATAAGCTTCTAATTATACATCCAGCGATTGAGCGATTTCCTTGTTAATTTTATGGAGTGGGGGCTGAGTGAACAACCACTCGATCAGCCTACTCCTCCTTTAAATTAAAATTCTAGCTAACATGGACGAGATCGAAATTTTTAACTTGCGGGATTTAAGAGCTCGCAAATATCTTTTAATTCTGAATTATTGATTTTTTTATTCCTGCGTATAGTGGAGAAGGGGACGGCTAAACAGTGGGAAGATAAATGCATAAAGTTTATATAGTTTTTAAAAAAATAATAAACAATTCAGTAAATAATACATACATATACTGGTACTTTAAAATGCTTAAGACAATATCCAGTAAAGAATAAAACGAATTTCTATTAAAATAATAAAAACGTTAAATACAAACTTTGATTTCGAAACGTATATACATATTTCTATGAGGACCAGTAAATGAAATCAAATTCTGCCTCGCGATGAAACCTAAACTAATCTTTAAAAATCCTTTCTTAAGTCTTAAGAAATACAAAAATAATCGTCATTTATCCGAGAAATGATTTGAAAGTTGTAAGAATAATATAGTAAATTATTATTATTAGGCTTTAAATATTAATTTGTAAATTTTTATAAAAATCTGCAACAGTCTGCCCTGTACCACTTTAGGAAATTATATTTTTTCAAATTAAATATGTGCCAATATACTGTTTTATTTATAAGTTGCTTTATAGTGAATTTGATTGGACGCACTTAAAGCCTTCGTTTATCACACTTCATAAAGTGATCTCAGCTTTTTATTTTAGAGACAGATATCTCCGAAGAATAGTTCTGAATAGTATCAGTCGCATCATCTATAATAGTAATTTAAACTTTCTTCTTTAAGTAGAGCTGCGCTGCGCAGCTTAAAAAAGTAGTTTAAAATAGCTTAAAATACATACTAACGAATGTGCTGCTAATGTATGTCAATATACTCAATGAATCGTGTATCGCCAATTAATTGTGCTATAATTAATATGCTCGGTTTTTGTAGCGAATTTGTCATTATATTATCTGTTAGTAGATTCCTGACATTTTACCGACGAAATTTGTAGCAGATACTTTGCAAATTTATTTTCGATAAATTCGCCCAAAACACATTTATGTAAGACATTGGTAATAACTTTTTTTTTTAATGTCCTCCACGCTTAGCAACCGCTTCGCGCCACACGATGCGCATGAGTGTCCCAGGGGTAAGCGCGGTGCAGGGGGTTGCTGCGCACGAGTGTCCGCGAGGCAAGGGCGAAAGCACGCGCGACGGGTGTCGTCGAGGAGGATAGTGCGTGCTGTACAAAGTGGCACGGCGACGTGCACATTTGACGTCTGATAGTAGACGTCTGGTATAGTAGAATTATGGTGCGAACTACGAGGGATCGAATACTCGATGCACCGTCCGTTGCTGCTACTCTGACGTTCACGTTGCTGCTGCTAGTCGATCAAGTAAGAAACGCTGCGACAGGCGTAAGATACGCACCTCGTAGCTATGTCGGATGGCGCATTATTCGCAAAAATAAACGCGTAACCGCGTCTTGCGCGTGAGAGACACGTTTACGTCGCAGGAAACGCGTTCCCGTCCGCACCCTCTGTCGCCCGTACAACCCTTGTCCGTTCGGCTCCTCCGCCGCGCTCCCGATCAATACACGTCCGCCGTGTTTGCCATTCATGCGTAAGTCTTTTCCACGCTCCTTTTAATCCATTAATGATCAGTAATTTCCATTTCTGGATTATAACTTTATTATTAATAGAACAAAATTTTTTAAGTTTAATAAATACTATAATAAATAAAATAGATCTTATTAATAAACAGTCACTTTTTAATCTTTTACGTAATTACAGTAAATAAAATACACATGCTTTGTAAATCAAAGTTTTCAATCAAGATAATATATTGCTATGAAATATCACAATATAAATAAAAGATTAAAAGAGATAGTACACTTGAAAATGATCAAAATATTAATTTCTTTTATTTTTAAAATACTGTTGTATTTTTAATTATATACATATATAAATTGAATTTTATATTATATTTATATTTATTTATTTTTATTTTATTTTATTTAAATCTATAAAAAACGTTGAAAATATAATTAAGATAATGAAAATAGTTGAAATAAATTAAAAAATTAGTTTTAAACTTTTACTTCATTTGTCACACTATACTTATAGTCTTGAACTTATACTTATATATTAAACAAAGAACAATTTTACCGTTTTTTTGTAGGAAATAAATAAATATCGCATGATAATCTCCTTTTTCTTCCCTACTTAATTTTATGTATAATTACTACGTCTTAAATATGAATATAGAATCGAATTTTTTAATTATAAGTGTGAAATCAGCAAAGATCTATTTATTTAACAATTTTAGAAAATAAAAAAAATTGTTAAGAAAAAAATGACATCGTGTAATTTAATTAAAATTTTTTGAATTATAATTGTAGCTTTTTTAATGAGTTAACTATCCTACCATTTTGCCATCCTTGTTAATTCACAAAAGATACCGCTGCCATAAAAATCGCATCGTTTGCATGAACATTTCAGTACATCTTATTAGAGAAGTTATATAAATTCTTATAATTTTTTAAAATAGGACATAAATTGATATAGAAATAATCATTATTAACAGAATATTTTGTGTTATCTGTATTTTTTATAATATTGAAATTGTTTTTATACATTTTATTTCTTGTAGAAAACTCATTTCTCTTTGGATTGAGATATCGTTCGATATATTCTAATATTATAAACAGGCGATCTTTCTTTATGTAATGTAATCTATTAAATATAATTAATAAAGAGCGGAGAGGAAGAGAGGAGGAAGAGAGAGAACGCTTCAATTGTATACTGTGGATAATTATAAATCTGTAATCAATTTGTTATTTGTTATTTTTAAAAGTGATAAAATATAATATATAACTATTAATCATATTTTGTATTATCTTTTAAGGTGTCTTCTAAGCTATGTACTGGAGGGCATGTGTAAGTATCTCGTCTTAATAAATATCGCATATATAATCGAGTACAAAATTAAGAAATATGAAGTAAACTGTAGATAAAAAGATGCAAACTTGTTGTTTTTTAGATGTTCTCCCCCAAAGGATTGCTGTCCTTATGGCTGTTGTTACAGTGTCTTTACACCAGTACATTCTCATGTTTCAGAAATGTTCAATTTTATAATTTGGTCTCATTGGTATCTATGGTTAGTATATCTCTTTTCACTTATTAAATGACGACATAAAGTAAAAAGGAAATAAATCTTTTGTCCTTTTTACTTATTACGATTAAAATTACTTTTAACATGATAATTGTAATATGATTTTTGCTAGCGGTTTGTTCTAATAAATTTATATATGCATTTGTGTTTGTACCAAACATAATTTCATTTTTGCATAATAGTTCTGCATAATTATCATTACTTTATCTTTGTAGTGTTATATAGATCGAGTAGCAATCACAAGTATCTTGTTTACAGGATAGCCATGCTCACAGCTTTAGCTATAGCAGCATCATATGGCTTTTGGCTGTGGAAACGTCGCCGTTCGGCATTGTCGGAAGATGGCATGTCCTCAGAAAGAACTTCCACAGGACCGTGGTACCCACCACCTCATTATAGCCGATGTAGTTCCTTTGTCCAAGCACTACCACCGCCATACAATGAGGTGACCATAAATTCAATTTAACAAAGAACTTGAAAAAATTATGAAAAACAATAACGTTGATTGCGCTACATATAAATAGTACGGGGAATAATAATTAATTTTCACTTCACAGTCATAACGACATCGCAAAATCATTGAACAAAGTTAATCATTGCATTGTCAATTTCCCTCCATCTATTTATTTGTAATTAAAGTAAAATCAAAATTTAATTAAAAATTATGTTACATTAAAAAAAAGATATTAAAACTGGTCTCTCTAAAGTTTTATTTACAATAACACTACTGATTTAATTACTTCTACTTTGAAAACTATTGGAATCTTGGTATTTTCGTCAAATTGACTCCAAATTTAAAAAAAATGTATTACTATTTTCAAAGAGATCTAAAAATATTACAATATAATTTATTAGTATAAATATATTATATGTAAGTTTATTAATATATACAATATAAATTCGAAATCTATTTTTATTATCTAATTTATGCTCAGGTGACTGCAAAACCAGACCTTTACCCCTTAGTAATTGGCTACGACGATAGTTCGGGCAAAGGTACTTCTGGTTTTGTAATGCGCTACTTCAGATCGTTGTCGCATGCAAGCACATTGGACTCATTGAGCTCAAGTTTCATGTGCAATATGGTAAACGAAGCGAATACCATTATTCCACCGCCGTATTCTTGTAACAACAGCGTTGACGAATTATCGGCGGCGGAGTGCGAGAGAAGAGAGATCAGCGACGTTGGTTCCATCGTCTCCTTGACAAATCACAGAACGACCTCTGACATATCAAGCCTTGGTGCTCAATCGCCTTGTTCTCCGCCGAGGGCTACCAGCCCAACGATAGAAGTATGCTTTTAATCATATTTTACAGATTTAAAATCAATTGAACTAGTAAAATAATTAAACTTAATTAATGCTCGTATATGTATATCACAAAAGTATAAAATAATTACCGCTCGTATGTATAAAACAATAAAATAGAAAAGAGTTAAGCCAATAAAAATTTTACTCGTTTTATTGGCTTAACTCTTTTATATTTTATTATCACAAAAGTATCTTTATGCACGGAGAGAATTTTTTTTTAAATTTACCCTTCAAATCATGTTAATTGTGGGACAATATAGTATTTAGGCAAATTTTACTGTGCACTACAATAAGATTTTACAGTAAAATTTATTGTAGTGTACAGTAAAATTTGCCTAAATACTATACTGTCCCACAATTAACATGATTTGCAAGGTAAATTTAAAAAAAAAATTCTCTCCACGTGTATATACGAACTATATTAATTTCGCGATGTTAATTTTTTTACGTTCATTATTTTCCCAGTTACGGGAATTACTGGATAAGATACAACAACTTCCTCATTTGTCCAATGGACATTCCACCACCATCAATTGCCAGCAGACTCAAGCCCCGGTCTTGTATATAACAAGTAGCGATGGCATTACGCATCAACAACGGCCTTTAAGCCCCGGCGACGTCGGTTCCTACAAAGTCAGAAGAACCAGGGGCAAGCTGTACATGCCGTTGGGATTGCCGAATTCACGAAGCAAAACGAAGCGATGGTTGTCGCGGTCCGCACCAACAACACCCTCGGGTACAATACCAATGTCCTTTTTACCGGGACAAAGTAGGAGGCCCTCCGAGACCGACAACAACAATCAGCAAGCGGTGCCGTTGCTCTACGAGCAAGACGAGAGCGAAAACAACAATGCGGATCAACCTCCCTCGTCGGGCGCACCATTGCTCGCTGAACAAGAGGAAGAACGACAATCGACATGACACGGTATCTAAACTGTTTGATATTCGACATCGCAATGACCTCGTGTAAGAATTACTGACACACACACACACACACAGATTTAAATATTTTTTAACATGGCTCTGACACATTCATCATGTGTGCCGTATCATAAAATTATACACATTCGGGACGTATTTAGATATCTACACAGCCTGCAAAAAAATCTAAATTTTATTTATAATTTCGTTAGGATTATAGGAATAATACGTATGTATTATACACAGATAAAATACGATATATGTATATACAGAAAAGATGGTTTTGCTGAAGTGTCTAAAAATTTAGCTGTAAATACAAATCTGAAAAATTAAATTTATCGAATCGTCAAAATAATTATGTTGAATGCTCAAGTTGCTGGACTGTCAAAACTTTTTGTAGCATCATGTTTGAATGTCTTACATAATTATTTTGATGACAACAAAATTATTTTTTCAGATCTGTATCTAATTCAATTTTTACATTATACTCAACAAATCTATTCTTTACGCGCGCGCGCGCTTATTTTTTTCCATGCTTAATTTTTCACATATGTCTAATACTGTAAATTTAGTGATAACTGTCAAATTTAGATATAATTCTAAATCACAAACATGTAAACATGCATACGTCTTATAGATACGCCCCGAAAGTACTTGATATGACAGGACACGCATGACGCCTATTATACGAGATACTGTTAATCGAAATCGATTTTCCGACTGTTAAACAATAAATGCCGCCTACCTTTTTAAACTAAAAATCTCAAGAAATTTGAAAGGACTGTTACGGCTGTCTTCGGCGCAGTGACTTAATAAGGCCTTATCCGCAATTTTAGAATTCAATTCTACCGTCACATTCTTGAATACTTACAATTTTAAACATATTAATTCTTTAGCTGTGGAACGTTTCAAATGCAAAAAACCGTCCTCTGTGCAGAACGATAGTTACAAGTCGGTCACTGAAACACGATCGGTTCTATTAAAAATAGAATCGCGTGGATAATTTAAATGCTCCATATAAGATACTTTTGCAAACATGATGTTTGAAAGAATATAAGATCGCAGACTTAATGCGACACTTTTCTATCACAAGCATATTTTCATTAAATCTTAGGAAATAAATCATTATTAATGACAACACAGAGTAAATAACAAACATAACATATAAATGTAACACATTTTTAATTATAAGTGAATAAATCATTAGTTTAGTCTATTAACCAATAGTTAAATCTGTTAAAAACAGATTTTGTAAAATATTTAATTACCCTGCACTGTAAAATGATGATATATTATAATTTATTATTATAATATTTTATATTATTTTATTATAATTTATTATATTTTATCGATAGCCAGCGGAAATATAACAGAATCTGCTAACGGAATATGATGGCAGAATGGAAAAAATGGAGCAAAATACACATACGTACATTTTCCGCAGCTAAAGAATTAAAAAATTAAAAATACGTCATAAATAAATACGTGCAGTTTGCGAATTCCTCAGAAATTTCTGAGGAATGTATTGGATCATCCGGAAAGTTTTGCAGTTTTCTCAGATCTGCGCGGATACCAGTTTGAATTTTGC